TACACTCTTTCTTGAAATTCTTTAAGATATCTAAATTTTTCGAAGCGTCCTCAAAGATCTGTGAAGCTATCTGAAAGACAATACAAGTAGACTCGCGAAATTCTTTATTAAAAATATTAATTCTTTTAAATATTAATTAATTGAAATTCTTTTTTAATTCCTTTTTTCAAAAGATTGCCAAAAATATGAAAAGAGATATTTATAGAATGCTACATTCTTTTTTATTTTATGATTAAAATTCCATGAATTTATTTCTGTGTACAGAGTATATTAATAGAAACTTTTTAACGAGTTTTTTTTGGTAATTGACTAATTTGAAAATACATTAACAAATTAAAAAATACTTCAACTTTGTTTTCAAAAGAAATATATAAATGCGATGGATCAAACTTGCTTTATTCTCTAGATTAAAATATCTATCAACAAATTTTCATTGGCAATACTTGAGTATTACATTTTAATTCTGTATCAAAGGATTGGAAACTGAAAATTGCGAATTGAAGATTGGAAGGTGATCAGATAATTTGAAAATTTTAATCCGTTTTGTTTTGATTGATCGCAATCATCAATCTCTGATGCGTAATTTGATAAAAAAAATGTATCTATATTAAAATTTAATTACAACTATTAATATTGAATTTTTTAATACCCTTCTTTGTCTTCTTAAGAAGTTAATCACCTTAATTTTTTGCAACTTGAAGTCTTGTTCAAAATATTAGATCACAATAATAATTTAAATATAAATGATTAATAGACTTTTTATTACTACTGTTTTGTTAAATAACTATAAGCGAACTATCATTTTATGGTTGGATATGGTCATTTAACAAGAGAGTATAGTAAGAATTTATTTATCGTCTATATTTAAATTATTATTTTGTTCTATGATATTTTGAATGAGACTTCATGTTGTAGTAGACGTCAATTAGCATAACAACTAACTGATGTAACATCTCTTCAAACATGGAATTGTAAACATGTTGCCTATTGCATATTGGGAATTGAATTCTTATCGATGGATGCGTTGTTAATTCGTTTACCTACAATATCATGTAAGACTCATGATAAATAATGTGAGTCAAATACCTATAAGAACCACAATTGAGGGCCCTGGTACGTTCTTCGATACAGACATAGTAAACACAGATAAGGCTCGTGGTACCTAGATCGGGATCAAACGTAAACAACACAAGTTTACACTCGATACGTGATCGACTATGCTGTTGATTGTGGCACACGCCATCGAAACTCAAATTGTAGTACAAAGTACAAAAAATTAATATATACTTAAATTACTTCGCTGAAGATGGCTTATCATACATTAAGCCGAAACCTTCGTATTTCCTAGTTAATGTAGGAGAACAAATAGAATTCAATATTACGCACAAGTTACCGTGAGAATTACATTTTGAATATACAATAGTTACTCTCATTTGCTTGCGTGCATTCCATCATTATTGTCTATCTACTATCTATCTACTAAAGCAAACCAAGACGCTATAAAATCTTTTTCTTCTCTCTGTAATAATTAGTCTTCATGAAACGGGGAATATCCCACATTTCCCTCAGGTCCTTCAATTACCGACCACATCGCGTCGATTAATTCAGCCCTTGGCGTTCTGGAATGTTTGCGTAAACATCGGCTGAGCGAACGCTCGCACATACACAGAGAAGACATGTTATTGCCGACTAGGGAGAATTTTCGTTAATCAAGCCACATCAATGGCTGTCCTGGCCGCAACGTTCGGCAGTCTCAAAAACTAAATTATTGTTGCTCTACCTATACGATACACGGATGAGGAAATACATAGGTAGAAACGAAAGAGAGAATCAGAGAGAAAAGAGAAGAGAAAGGGAGGAAGGAAAAGGAAAGGAGCAAGACAGAGATCATTTGGAACCTTGGCACGTCATACAGGACACGTTCCTTTGTATCAGGGCGAATCATGCATAAGTGTGTACGACGCGATACCGCTTCTGATACTGCTATCTATTCTCTGTAATATCTACTCGCGCTACGACGACGGAATATCGAAGATCGACTAAAGTGTCTTCGTGTTTTACTTTGGATCTAAAATGTCGTTTTCAAGCAAAATTGGGAGTCTTATTAAAGCACGATCTAACATAAATTGAATACGATCTAGACTGACGCTCTGTCAAACTGGTAATAAGATCTAATAATATAATACAAAAGAAGAGATATACACTTTTTGCTTCAATAAGAACCTCTTGACTCAAAATAATTGATTCTTCTAACATAATTTTAATTGCAGATTACTAAGCACAAATCTCTTTCTACTACTTTAGGCTTCCAAAAAATTCAGGGTTACTTTTTAACACCTCAATTACATTGAAAGAAATATTTTTTTTATTTAAGTGTTAAAACCTTCGTTTAGAGAGAATCTTATTTGGCTACGTATCGATTGTCTACAGCATCATTTATCTATATCACTTTTGCCAATTAACAGCTCGTTTGCGCACAAAAATTGTTGCCTACAGTTTGATTTTGCGTACAAATAAAAATTTTAGAAACGAAGTTACATTTGCCTACATATATTACGTAAGTTGCTTTGTAAATTTCCACGAGATATGGCATTAAACGTCGTGTCACGTTAAAACTTGATACGCTAACTTTATTTCGTCTTTTAATGACACTTTTGCCTTTGTCGCATGAACAAACATTAATTTATACATAACTCAAAGATAAGATTCCTTGTAATAATAATAATATAAATAATAGAGTAAATTCGGGCATTTAGAAATTGGAGTATTTATAGTAAAAGGAGATATAAAAAAATCTCTTAAAAGCACACACATCTTCTTCTATAGGTCTTGCATTACAACGTCAGTTATAATTTATAATTGGAGACAACGGAAAGCCCATTAGTGACCCATATTTTTATTTAAATATCTAATTGTCAAATATAAAATATGAAGTATGTAGAATTGAGGACAAATTCGCGATTGCTTGTTTGAATTCATTTGTTGGAATGCTGCAATGCATTGAGATATAGTCCTATCTATTTTCAATCCTTTCTTATTTTAAAATTATATATTTTTGAATACGCTGACTAAAAAATATACGTGAACCACATAGCTCCTTTTTTCATTTTATATATATATATATATCGCTTGTGTGTTATTACATTCTAAGATTTCTCAAAGACCGGATAAAATATAAAAATATCTAACTCGGATACAAATTACGTGTAAAATTTCTCAAATTCTATATTAATATTAATAATAATATTATTCCACCACATTTATATAGACTAAATATTTGTGTTATTTAGTGTTTTTTTTAAGTGAAAACTTCAAATATCAGCTAATGTTCGATTCGTCAAGGATGTTAATTCGATTTTTGGTTTTACGCGCGTTCGAATGTTAATCGTCGTATTTACATATCTCCAGAGATGTCGAACGACATCTTAAACCTCTATGAGTTATTGTTAATCTTTGAGCGTTTATAGATGTCCTGAGAATCTCTGAGGATTTCCGTGGATCCACGGAATACCTCGAGAATTTCCAAAACTTACCACCGAAATAGTGCGATTACCCTTGGATTAAATGTGCATCCTTGAGGTCAACGAGACTAAATTTCTGTTTAAATAATCTGAATAGCATAGATGGTTTATATGCTCTGAATTACTTGATCAGTCAATATGATTTTTCTAGCTCGCTGCGTTCACTGCTTGTTTACCTACCGATTTTATCCATCGCTCCATTCCCCACCTCCTCTCTTCGCGCTAGATCTTTCTTTTACCATGTAATCAGTATTTCAAAACTGATACTCAAAGTTTACGGCAAATATTTGCAAATTATACCAGCTATTCCCAGATTTTGTCGAAAATTATGACACAAAGATAACAATGTTGATGTTAAATAAAAAGAATAATATAATGCATGACGTTTTGCATAGCTGACACGATATACATATATTTCAGAATATTCAAATGATCTCAATACTAAAGGAAATAATAAATGTCATTGATGAGAATATGTTATATAATTTTGGTCGCAAATATTAGTTCGTAATTAATCTTAACCGATATTGGATGTGTGACATCGCATTATATTGTATTATCGATCTAATTAAAATACATAAGATAGGCTGTTTTCTCGTAACATATTCAGACATAAAAACAGATATCTGAGCAATAAAATTTGTTATTTGTGATAGTAACATTACTTTTACCAATAATTGACAACAAAATACTGTCTAGAATTTAAGACATTCTTAATTTCATTTATAGCTTCGCCTACATTTTTTTAAATTTTCATCGTCGTCTCTATTTTATTTTTTATTCTAATTTAATGTTTCTTTGTTTTTTTTTTATCTTGTATACCTTACATCGAGTTTCCTATTGACATTTACTGACTTTTGCTTGTCACAAATGTAATAACTTATTTTTTAACGCTTGAGGCGATATTCTAGAACGCTCGAATAAATACGATTTCTATCAATCTCTCTTCTCCTGTTCTTCTATTTTTTCTTTCTTTTCTCTTATGTTCTGTTTTTCTTCTTCAAAAAAAGAAATCTATTCTATTACAATATTAATAGATCAATTTTGTCTTGCGCCATCATTTTGTCTCGACATCGCGGATTTTAGACGCGGAATTTCCTGATTGACTGATTCGATCGCGCGTTCGATTACCGAACGTAATTAGTTTGCGTTGTAAGCAAAATAGGACGCTGCCGCCTCCGTCGCGCTGAAACGAGTTCGCCCTTTACGCTGGACCACCCTTTCGGGTTTGCGACGCAAATTTTCCCTGTGCGTGCAAAAGGCAGCTACCGCATCGCTAATTAGAAGATTCGCTTGCTGCTCGGGCCGGTACTTCGTTTCGGAGAGAACGGAGGAGGAGGTTACTGATCCAGGATAATTAAATTCGGACCCTTTAAGAAACCATCTTGACAGTTCGCAGGGCGCGTTCGCTTCCCTTTTAATAGCGAGTTAACAATGGCGTGATTATAAGGATGAACAGAGCAAGCAGAACAGTCTTACCGTATTTTTGAGACGACCGTGGACGTGAATTCTAATTGAGGGAAGCCCAACTCCTTCGGCTTCACGTCCTCCAGGCTGCTGTACCTTACGTAACTACAGGGCGGCGGTAACGAAAAGGCTGTAACAAAGGGTAGATATTAAGTAGACAATTTGTGATAAGAAAGACATCGGAGTTTATTTTACTACGAGAATACTTAATTAAATACAATAAAGAGAAAGAATGTTTACTCTGCAGTATCTTTCCGAAAAGTAAGTTAAATTCCTTAAGAATTAAGGAAATTTGTAATCCGCTTTCAAACTACATTTATTATATTATTATAAATTTATAGTAATACGGTGGTCTGTATTGATATAATCTATATTAAATAAAATATGGTTTTTACCAATAACGGCAGATAATAAATCTGTTTTAAATATTACTTTTTAAATCGTATTTAATTAATTAACAGTTCATTAATCATTAATTTTACAATAATTAATTCACATTTTGTATCTCTTTTAATAAAATTTTTATTTAAGTTATTCGATAAATGAATTGTCTCTGATATTCCGCGCTTGATAGTCTCTCGGATATACGCTACATGGGAAAGAATCGCAACTGCAGCAGCAGGAAAAGTGCGGCGCGAGCGTACTTCTCAGTACATAACTTCAACTTGACCAGGGCCATTTACGCGCGAGATTTTCGCTAGCGCGAGTTGCAGAAAAAAATCCTATCTCGGCGGCCGTCGCTGAAAATTCACGAACGCGCGTTCCCCATTTCTACAAACATGTCTTCTCTCTTGCCGGCGTTCATTTTCGCTTCATTAACTGCGAATCAGCGACGTACCTACATTCAGAGAAAGAAAAGAATCATCATACTTTTCCTCTCCCAACCTCTCGTTTCTTTTCGTCGGGAGAAAAGAGAGAAAGAGATCGAGAAAGATAGAGGAAGAATGAGAGAGAGAGAGAGAGAGAGAGAGAGAGAGAGAGAGAGAGAGAGAGAGAGAGAGAGAAGAAAGAGGATAATAGTCTACGCAAGGAAAGGGAGGGGTAGATTGTAAAATCGATGAGTCTCCTTGGAGCTCGCCAACTTTGTCCAAATCTTCTTTTGTAAAAAAAAATCGTACGTTAATTTTCTCCGCTGATTAACCCTTTCAGCTTTACATCCGTCAAATTAAATCGCTTGAGCGTTATGAAATTTATTTCCTAATTTGTTCAAAATGAAATAAGCCGTACTTTGAAAACAGAAGTATATACCAGAAAAATCATCCACAAAATTGTATTTTTCAATGACGTGAAGATTCTCTGTGCGAAAAGTTGGGAGACAATAATTAGCAAAAAAAAATAAATAAATAAAAGAAACGTTGATCAAACAACAGCTTTTTTCCAAATATGGCGGGTAACTTTCGCGGGATTAAACAACATCATTGAATTCTAACGGAATTGTTTGTTTTACGCTTAATGAGCGCGGTCACTTTTTGAAAAGTTGGAAAACGATCGAATGGAATAGGTGAAAAGAGAGGAAGTGGTGAGACTTGGGGAAAGGGGGGAAGAGCGGTAAACCGCCGAGGTACTCCAATCAGCTTCCCAACTTTAACCGCGCTTCTGCCTTCCGGCTGGCAACTCCCGCTAATGAAAGCCGCGTGCAAACTCGCGCAAGAAACCGCCGTTCGCGTTGGACTGCAGTTCGTGTATGAAAATAGCGACAAATGATAAAGTTTGCGGTAACCTTCGCTGTGATATACGTTTCGATAATTGAACCGTGTCCTTTTCGTTTCGAAGATCGCACTACATAAATTCGCTCGGTTAGCATTATTATACGCGCGTATATATAAATATCATGTAATCATTAAATGGACCGCTTCACGGAATTGCACGGCCAGCCAGAACGACCAATGGACGTAATAAGTCAACCCGGCTTTCCTTTCACAGCCGTCACTTGTTGTTTACGGGGACTTAACTCTGACGACGCGGAGGGACGGCAAGCTTAATTGCGGGTTAGAGCAGTTCTTTCCGAGGGATGCATGGAAGGTAATTTCAATTTATCCGCCTTTTCTCTTCAGCACGATGACACCGGCCGTCGCTTGGCGAGACATTTATTGCCGCGATGAGGCATCGTCCGGGATTATTATGCGCTCGGGATGCATTCTTATGCGACGACGCTTAATCGTCGCTGTTCAACACTCTTGCCCTCCCAAACGGCCCGCCATTAATCCTCGGGAGCCCCCGTCAGAATCGCGACGGCCAGATCGCCGTGGTAAAATTAAAAGGCGAGACGCGCTCCGGCACCCGGAACAAGTTCCCTTAAGGGATAAATGCGAAATTGAATGTTACATACATGACACTGCGTATTTTTCGTGTATTTTGTACTATTCATAGCATCAATTTTTATCACTATTGTACTTATTTTGACGCTGTAAATAGAGATTGTATTTCATCGAGATTAGCAATCCTGCTATAAATCATCAATATACACATAATTTAATTTAAAATTGAACTCCTAAAAATTAATGTTAAAAATATAATTATATTTAAATTTACATTTATGTGTACTATTTGCAATTTTTTATTTATTTTCTAATCTTTTTACCAAAATCTTCTAATGCTGAAATATCGTAATACTACGACAAATAATCATGTTTCACTTGATTGCATGCTGCTCTTAAATCGTCGAGCTCCATTTAGCGCTCGCCGCTAACCGACTCCGACATACTAAGAGCTTTTGCCTACTGTTTCAAAGGCTTTAAAGCTTTCGCGCAGAATGACCAGCTAGATTTTTTAAGCAATAACAACAGCGATGACAATGACAATTTTTTATTTGAATCGATTGTATATATCATCGAAAAATAAAAAGAAAATCAGTAATATGTTTGTAAAATGGAAGGTTCAATGTATAAATGTATAAGAAATGCAAATATTAAAGTTTTCTTTCAGAGAGTACTAACGTAATTGTAAAATAAAAAAGTTTCCGCAATCACAAACGTAAATTAATTATTTAAAAAAAAAGTAAAAGTAAATTAATTATATATTTTCTATATTCAATATAATATACTTATACATATATGTGTTTTTGTGGTCACTAAATTTACAAATTTTACAACATTTTTATTTACATTTCATATCTCCCTACTTAACATTATTTAAAATAGTTATTAAAAACAAACGTTTATTTTTCAAATGTTTATAAAATATCATGAAATATAATATTGTTGTCTAAATAGAAAAATTTATTCAAAACTATGTTTTTACTTTTTTTATAATTACGAAAGTAATATAATAAAATAATATAATAAAAAGATGAAAACTAAAACACAATAATAATTAAATTTATAAAATGGTTGAAGGAATCATTAGTGCATTTGAAGCGTATGTACATGTGATTACACAAACTTATAAACATTTATTATTAAAATCCAAATAGGAATGCACGAACATTGTGGATGATACCTCAGGATGAATGAATGTCTAAAACCGCCCGCGCCGCCGCCGTCGGAAACACGTTGGACGTGAGCAATAAAAATAATTGTGTAGCAACAACCGGCATGTTAACTGCAACTCGCTGCAAGATGGCGATGGAAACAAAGGGCTAGGAATGACGTTTACGAGCACCGATTGTTTTAAAAAGCGACGAGAGAGTCGAGCATTGCTATTGGTAGTTTGGGGAGAGTAAGAGAAAAAAAGAGGGGTGAAAGAGAGAGAGAGATGAAAAATGAGAAAAAAAAATAGAAGGAGAGAGCACAATGGAGGGTCAAACTCTGATGAGAGCTTCTTCAGTCGGGTTGGAAGACACCGCTGCGAGAACGAGCCCGATTGCTTTATTGGCCGGGATTAAAAAACATTCTCCAGGCAATTGTTTGTAATTCTGATGAAAAAGCTACACAATATAAAGGATTTGCCGGCTCGAACGCTGGAAATTTACCCCCAAGTTCTATGAGCTAGAATTTAAAGGAAATTAATTTATAACTATGTTAGATGTGTGTGTGTGTGTGTGTGTGTGTGTGTGTGTTGTGTGTTGTTTTTTTTTATTACACTTCCTCCTCATTCATATAAGACTTTATTGTTGTTGTTATTATTGTATTTATAGGTTGTATAAAAAAACATGCATAATTTATTTTTGTATGATATAAAATTGTACGTAACATTGTTATAATTTTAATATAGAGATATAATTTTAATAATATGGTAGAGAGTAGAGCAATCATACAGTAATAATTTGGCTCTTGATAATATCTACAAAAATCGTGATTTTCGGCCAAGTATTAAAAAAGTTTCGATATAAATTTGTGTAAAAATATCTTTGGTATATCTGGACATTTGTATAGCAAAATAGGTTTTCTTTTGAATTGGCCTATAGATATACGTGGATATAGCAATAGATATACGAGAAACTCTACAATACTTACCAAAGCTATGATTATCTTAAAATGCACTCATAAAAAATGAGTGTCGCGTACCCATTTTTCAACATTTTTACTCTGATACGCTTTGAAACGTTTTCAAGCGCACTGATCTCATACATTTTTTGAGGCGTTTATATTCTAAATGACTCTTACTAAAATCTCGATCACAATGTATATAACCCAATTAATTATCACTTTCGAACATATTGTAGAACCTCGAAAAATCACTCGTTACTTATAAACCTTTTTAGAAAATAATAAAAAAGGCACCAACTGTGCATTCCTCTCTCAGAAAAAAACTATTACGTAAATTATTATACGCGTATATATGTTATTCCAAACCTATTTCATACTACCAAAGTAATAATAATTTTTTTTCGAATAGTATGTGTAATCTCTAACTTGCGCTAATTATAAACAGAAAAAAGTACATTTCGTTGAAACACACAAATGATGTATAACTACTTTTAATAATAATAAAACTTAGGTAAACCTAATTTTAATCCTTCTTAAAAAATATTTAAAAAATATAAAATTTTTTAATGTAAAAAACTTGGCTCCGCTAAACCAAGCCAAATTTGCTAGCGGCGCAAAGTTTTTTTACTTCATTATTACGACCAACGCTGAAGGTAAAAATAGATAAAGAAATCTATAATATTTTATTTTTTCCAATTTTGAACGCGAAATACACACACTGCTGAAGATGATTCGAAACAGAGTCGAAACATATGGTTTATTGTTTTAGGAAAATAGACAAATGGAGATTAAATCGCGTATATAATCAATTAAAAATTGTACAGAGCTTCATTTATTGTGTTGACTTCGAAAGACCCTAATAAAAACACATTTATTATATAATTTAAATCGAAGTTGTTGATTAAGACTATTAAAAAGTTGATAAATTCAGCCGTTTAATGATAGATTCGATAATCTCGGATGCTCGCAACTCGCCGGCTCGCGTAAAGACACGGGACAATCTTATGCTAGTTACACTTGGCGCTCGTTATTTATAATTATTTTATATCATTAAGTTTTTCAGACATAATAAAAATTAATTTTTATTTAAGTTAAACTACATTAGTGCATGTTTCTAAATATTTTTCTGAATTTGGGACAATTTTGCAGTAATTCTTTACTATTCATTTGCATATTTGTGGAGTTTTTTTTACCGAAAATTTGTAATTTCCTACCATAAATATTTTCGTAACTGCGTTTAATTTCTTTCAGTGGGAAAGTTACTTTCGAATTCGTCAAAGAATTTTTACGTATATAAATTTATGACGTATATAAAAAGTGTAGAAATATCGAAAACAGAACTCGAAAGACATTGAGCATTGCGACACGCCTTATCACTTGCGTCATAAAAATCGGCGTCTCCCGAATGGGGCAGTAAATTCAATCTACATGATCAGAGAAAGATTGCCGAGTCGGCAAATTACGAAATGGGGTAGTCACAAGGCGCACAAGAGAACGGTTAACTTGATATGGTGTGATTGAGGATAGAAATGGAAAGAGATTACGTCTGTACTTTCGGCAGCGTCTCCAGTTCAGTTAATCCAACATTAATTCATTTTTTATGGATTTAGATAAAGAAGGAATTTAAAAAAGTTATACACGCTGTCATTTTTATTGTACAACGAGCAGAATTTTATCTTTCGCAAAATTCAATAAACCTGAGTTGTTCTTTTATTTTCATTCATATCTGATTAGAAACGTTTATTAGTATTTTTGCTTAAATATTTATTTATTCAAAATCACGATTATTTTTAAACAGTTATAGTTATTTCCTTCTAAAAATTAATGCACTTTGTTAATAACATGACGATAGTCAATAGATTTTAATCAATTTTATTACAATCAATGTTAAATTGTTTCTGAACAAGTAATGAGTGTTTCTTGTAAGGCTTTTTTACATTAAAAAATACGATACCATTTCCTCAAAAAATTTCATCTTTTTCAATATTTAGAAACTTCATTTTGAATTTTTTTTGTAATAACGTAAATTTGTAATGTAAGGTAACTGAACTCTATAAATTCCTAAATTTTAATTTTTCTATTTTTTGCTGAGTCCGAAATTGAAAATTAGTGGTCACATTCAAAACAGGGAACATTTTTGAATGTTAATAAAAGTTATAAAATATTTTCAAACATTTATACGGTGCAGTTAAAATAAAAAAAAAGCATTTCGCATACAGGGTGAGACATCTAAAACAGGTCACCTGAATAACACGCTTGTTTTTGATGATATGAAAAAATGTTTTAGATGAAAGTGGAACGAGTGATTTCGAGGAGAATGTGTTTTGGTGTTGTTTTCTGTCTAGGTAGAGGCACTAAAAGGATATGAAAGTCACCTCCACTTTTTTAAATGGAATTACATGACTTTTTTTGTATAATATAATTTCTTTAACAATTCGGCATATAAAAGTACAGATATACACGGCATATGAAGGTAACAAAAGTATAGATACACACGAAAGATACAGATACAAAAGTACAGATACACATGGCATATGAAGGTACAGATAACAAAAAATCAATTGTTTAAAAAATTATTCATTTTGTCTGTACATTCTTTTTGAAGTAACTATGTGTTTTCTTTACATCAATTGATTCGTCTCATTATTCTGTTTATAGAAATATTGACATTTTGATGTTAATTTTAATATTTTGTATGTCTCAAAAAGTCAATTACTATTATTACACGTCTTTAAGTTAAAATTAATGTTTTATTTTTTATAATGTACCTACGGAATATTATATCAAGCGTACGACATTCTGCATTTTGCTTTACTGATGACAGGATGAATAAATTGAACAATAAACTGATACAATAGAGTCAGACAAATAAACTACACGAAGTTGGTACTGCTATTTATTGAATTGATCGTGTAACTACTTACAAACAGCGAATACGACGTTTTGAGTACACATATTTCTAATATAAGCAGAACAAGTTATGATATCGTCAAAATAACGTTGAAATGAATTGTAAATGATTATAAAATAACTCTTAATGATTATTTTGAAGAAATTTTGATATTATGATGTCTTACTGTTTTAGCTTGGATTGGATCTGATTATCTTATATAATAATTATTATAGATATATAGAAGAAAGTCATCGATACTGATATAAGTCTCCTAAAACGATACATCCTAATTTTGCAGAAACAAATTATTGCACTTTATTAATACTAATAAAAATTGTTTAGCTAATTAAAGCGAAGTAGAAATTTATAATTCATATATTTGTGACTCCTACATCAAATCAGCTAAAAACAAATTTTATCGAATACGAGAAAAAATTTCAATGATTTTTTTTGCAAATTGCATACTTTAAATAATGGTGACTACTTTAATGATAATATTACGTTGTTCTAAATGTTTATAGTTTCCTAAATCAGTTTTATTTACATTATCTTTTTTTTAGTTTTATCAGAATACGATTTTAAATATAAAATTGGTATGCAGGGTAAACCGCCACATCTGTGTGTAAAACAGATCATGAACTAATTTAATCTTTATAATGTTGCTTTATAGTACACCCCCCCCCCAAATAATTATATTAAAGCTGAAGGTAATGGTGCATACACGGGAAAGCTGTTAAAAAAAACTATCGCATAACATATTTGCATCTTGTAGAACAGCATAAAGTAAATAATATAATTCAATAAAAATGTTTTATAATGAAGTGAAAAGATTCTGGAAAATCTTATATAAAAACATTTACTTATATACAGATAATTCTTGTAAAAGAAAATAAATAAGAATATGTGGCACTACTGCCTACTGTATCAGTTTTGGAGCCCATTTTGTTAGATGCTTATTTTTACTTATCTTGTGAAAAAAATTAAATATTGTGAAGTTGTAAACAGTATTTATTATGCTTCTTATGTATTTTATTCTGTAAAGTTGTAACTTGTCTAAATTTGTAGTTTCTTGAAAATATATACATATATATCCTCAATTTCTTAAAATTTATAGGTAATGAAACTTTTTTAACTTTTTTTACTTTTTCAGCAAAATAATTCTAAAAATATACAAGAATCACTATTTAGATAATACATAAGAATCAATATTTAGAGAAACAAGAACTGTGTAACATAATGTAATATATTATAGAAAATGAATACTTTATATATGAACGAAACGGAAATTAAAATACTTAAGGAAAAATTAAAAATAACGTTAAATACTTTCTACAATAATTGTATCTCCAAAGTATAATTTGTTTCGCATATATCTACTTCAGGCTTGCATTGTATAGGAGCGTACCTACTCTTTGCTTCCTTATTTATTTATTTATTATAACTATTCTTCACGCTCTTGCCGTCATTTCGTATCCCACCCGCGACTGAGAATGGATGGCCACATCCGGTTGAGTTTGCACGGGTTTCATCCTCGAGAAGGATGATAAACAACGAACCGGCGTATTGACGGGAAATAAATCGTCGAGGATCTCGTCGATCCTCCATTTTTCGGTTCGCTCTCTCGATTCTTTTGTCGGCAACATCAGGAAGCATCAACAAATCTGTCGAGACACGCGCTCAGCTTCGATTCTTGGCGCTGGTCCAGCGCTTCCAGTTCGTCGCGCACGTTCACGACTCATCGCATCGCGGACGAGTGAGTTCGTGATTCTCTCATACACCTGGTAGTTTTATTTTAATGAAGTCCACCAAGCTCATCACGTGAGCGAAGATTTATTAACGCCAAGATGCGCAAAGGGTCCTCCGCGAATCCAAGGATGATAAAATATTTTTAGCTTGGAATTCGTAAAATTATGAATTTTCACATCAAAAAGAATTTTTTACATTACACAAGTTCACATATAATTATGCTGTTCTAATAAACGTACAATTTTGGTTTATATATATTTTGATAGAATTAAATTTAAAAAATATTATTAATAATCTAATAACCATAATTTTTTGTAGTACTTAATATTTAATGTGATATACAATATTTAGAGTTAATAGAAAATTTGCGATGTTAGGCTTTTTATTTATCTTCACATTATTGTGAAAAGTTGTTGGGGAAAATGAGTTGTTGATAATTAGCTTTCTTTTTTACTTCTACCTCGGCGCTGAAGCGTATCTGTCTAGTAGTGAGGAAATGGCCGCCGCTAAGTGCTTTTTAGTTGATAATCGATTTAAGAGAGCATGATAATTTTCCGATGGGCATCGCTTTTTAACCTTAAAAGCGACGTGCAATTAATTGTGCTCGAAAATTACGTCGCGGGAGAATTGAAAAATCCACTGTATCATATCTGTACATATTAACCACCATCTTTGTGTTCAAACAAACGCGTCGACAGCGCAGGCTTTTATGCGATCAGAGAATCGACGATCGATTACCATGTACGGACGAAGACAGTGTTGTGTCATCATGTTGTTGTCCACGCAAGGATATCGACAGGACTTCGCCAAAGTGAACCAGCATCTCTGTTGACGGAAGGAACGTGTTTCGCTTACCAGTCGGCCTTTGATCATGCGATTTCCCCTGATCGACTGTAATCATCTCCTTCTTGTCGACATCCACAACTTTGATGACATCAATTGTTGCTCGTAATATTTCATTCAGTCGCTTCTATTAAGTTTGATTGAGCTCAGAAATTGGAGAACTTCTAACAAAATCAATATAGAAGCTTATGAAATGATTACACTATTCATAACACGTAATTTTTGAAGGATTTGGAATACAGTTCCGTTAATTAAATTGCTCTTACAGAACAATTTTGAAAAATTGCGATTAAAATTACAAAAAAATTGTAATTTTAGTGTATACTTTGGCACATTGTAACTATGATGTGTGACATATTGAAAAAGTTTTGTTACAATCAAGTTTAAATCTTTTGCTTATTGTTTCATATATAAGCCTGTACTCTGCCCTCAAACCTATCACAGCATAAAACATTGAAAAAGTATTGCTGAGATGTTGCAAAGTTGAATGTTAAAGGGTGAATGTTTTTTCAATGTTAAATATGATAATGATTTTTCCACATTGATCGTTTACGTTCCTGTAACGTTAAAATAACATTTCTATGCAGCATAGAACGTTGAAATAACATTGCTGAGATATTGCAATGTTGAATGTAGAAATGTAAATGTTTTTCAACATTGAATATACAATATATTTCGCGACGTTGATACAACATTTATAAAGTGCAATTTAACATTTTTGAGATATTGATTCGACATTATGTGCTGTAGAAATCCATAAAGATAAGCATCTTTTCAACATATGAAATTTAAATTTCGTCAAATCATTTTTGTAGATATCCTTTATGACTTCCTTATGTCTTATTATTTATTTATTTTAATAAAGTATACATTTACAAATTTTTGAAATAAATTTTATATTATGTAAACCTATTTATTATTATAAAATTAATTTTTTAAAATTATTTCTCTCAAAATTAAAAAACCTTCAACGACGCGTAGAAGAGACGGAAGTAAACTGCGCTCGTTGGCACAGTATTCGCAATTTCAGCATTCGACTTTTTAAACAACTAATTAGTATAATTAACTGTACTAAAATATAATAGAGTGAACCTGTTTCTACATTTTTATACTAGGAATGATTCTATATACTGTATATTTTTTTATAATAAGCATAATACGAACATGCTGCATTGTAACCACCTTGTCTGAAGTATTATAAAATAAATTGATATATGTATATTACAGTGTAAGTTGGCTTTATAAGCTTAATGTTAAATATTAAACTAAACATCTCAGTGACCAAACATGTACCTATATCCGACATGTACCTATATTTACAAGATTTATTATTATTAATCTCAAATGTTTTTTATTATATTATTATATTTTAATTGTATTCAAAGATTATTTTAAAAAGGCATTTAAAATTAATAATAATGTATATAAAAATAGGGATCTACATGCTTAGTATAGATATAAATTCACACAAAAATTATATTAGAAGATCCAGCTTGACCGTGAATAGCTTATTCTCATCGGTATATTTATTATAGTTTGAAACTCTCACGGTCCAAAAATAAGATTTGATACTGTTTATATAAAAAAAAACATGATATAGAAATAATAAGGCTCAAATAATAAATTAAATATAAAATTTTGAGTAAATGTACGAACATAAGTATGCCCGGTCACTGGAACATTAATGAAAATGTAAAAAAATTAATGAACATCGCAGATGTGTATGGTATTTCTTAAGAAAAAGTGATCTTTTAATTTATGTTAGTAATTACATTATTACGTAATTATGAAACAACAAAAAATTATTATAGAAAAATAAATATAAATTATTTTAGTCAAATATAAATTATTTAAGTTAATTATAATTATTTCAGTTGATTATAAGGTTTTAGTTTTAAAATGCATTTGGTTTGTTTTCATTTTTAAAATATGTTTATTTGAAAATAGATATTTTCTCATATAATATATTTATGTAGATTATATTGCATAAAAAAGAGAAACAGCTATTTTCAAATTAATATATCAAAAAATTATGAAACGTCGTGCTGACATAGCGCCGCGTCATTTGGATGAAAATTCTCGCCGGTGACAGGATAGTCTTCACATAAATCCCTTTTGTCTGGCCGTATATAATAAAGCGATAAAGCGGTCGGCATCGACTTCTGCGCCGCTATTCTTCCATTATGTGACGATTTGTATTACATCGTGCGTATCAAG